GGCCTTTTAGCTTCTCAGTCCTTCATCTCGAGAGGAAAATGCTGTGATGGTCCAGTGATGTTCCCTTCTCCTTTCCCTGGCTGTGGCTGCCTGTGCCACAGTCCTGGTTCCCTGGGGCCCTTTCCCTGGCTCTGTGTCCCCTGTCCCGGCTCTGTCCCTGTCCCGCTATTCCGGTTCTGTCCCGGTTCTGTCCCGGTTCTATCCCGGTTCTGTCCCGGTTCTGTCCCGGTTCTATCCCGGTTCTGTCCCGGTTCTGTCCCGGTTCTGTCCCCCATCCCTGTCCCTCTCTCCGGGCCCTTTCCCGGCGCTGCTCGGGCCCGCAGCGGCCCCTGGCGGTGGCTGTGGGCAGTGCCGGCTGTTGGCTCTGGATCCAGCTGTGACCCCTGCGGGATCCAGCTGTGACCTCTGTGGATCCAGCTGTGACCCCTGCGGATCCAGCTGTGATCTCTGCGGGATCCAGCTGTGATCTCTGCAGGATCCAGCTGTGACCCCTGCGGATCCAGCTGTGACCCCTGAGGGATCCAGCTGTGATCTCTGCGGGATCCAGCTGTGACCCCTGCGGATCCAGCTGTGACCTCTGCGGGATCCAGCTGTGACCTCTGTGGGATCCAGCTGTGACCTCTGTGGGATCCAGCTGTGACCTCTGCACATCTGGTGAGAGCAGCTGGACGTTTCATTTCCCAGGCTTTGCATCCCATCTGTCCCAGCAGCGTGACTGATGCAGGATGGCTAAAACAACCCGTCTGATCTTTATGGAAATGAAGTGTTGTGGAGAAACTGTCTTTGTACGTCAGACCCTGAGCTGGACACTCATCCCTGCAGGATTTCTCTAGCTGGAATATCTCTGTGCCTTTGGCTATTGGGTTGAAATCACCCATAAGAAACTTGAGACTTTGAGTTAGCCTGCTCCAGAGCAAGGTTTTCAGTCCAGAAAATGTTTCATGGTGCCAAAGTCAGTCTCAGAGTTAAGCCAGACAACCTGGTACAGCCTTAACATTCATCCAGCCCAAGCCTTGCTACGTGTTAGGTGTAAAGAACACAAAAATCTTCAGGAGCCAGGCCACCATATCAAAACATCAACCACACGCAAAGCAAGGAGCACATCACTTCCTTCTTCCCTGAGGAAGGGAAAGGGACTGCTCAGAGTTGATCCAAAGCATGTTTTCTTAATAAACACTAATTGCCATCTATCAAGCACACATATTTTTTCTAATTTAAAAATCCACACTGAAGCCTCTGAAGAGATGAAGATCAGAACAGGCTCAATTTTCCATGCAAATCATTTGCTCTGATCCTGACCCAGGATTTTCATAACAATTAGAGACAGGGTGGGGCTGCTGTGTCTGTGAGCTGCCCACAGTGCCCAGCTGTCCCTCTCCCCATGGGGTTCCTTTCATGCCTGGCTCTGAAGGGATATGTGCACCTGAGACATTTTCCCTCTCTGAGCTGAAAGTCATGGCTCTTCAACCACATTTATTTCTCTCTCTCCTTTTCCTGTTTTGGCTTTTTTCTCCCACATTTGATCCCAATTGCTGAGTGCTGACAGGAACCAGATGAAAAGATTCCAGCCTTTCAGTGTCAATATTGGACATCAACCTAGATTTTTATATGTTTGAGTACAGGGGTTGTGTGCTTATGTGAGCACACCTGTGCAGGTTCCATACATCTCTAGTTATATCATCATCAGGCATCTTAAAAACACACCTCAACACCATCCCCCTGGATTCAAGAGATTGACTTTAAAAAGAGGGATTTGGGGGGTTTTTGTTTGCTTGTTTTGGAAGTGGCTTTCCAGGATGCAGCACGCTGCAATGTGATTTACCTTTGTGGTGTGAAAGTATTAGAGCAACTTCCAAGCTACCTTAATGGAAAAATCTGAATCACATGCTTGCAGACACCTTTTAATAGAAATGAAATTGTATTTACACCCACGTAAATGTTCCGTGTAGACAGGTTCTGAGATCTGGGGAGGTGGGAGGGAAAGTTGTGCTTGAGATTATCAAAGTACCTTATTAGGTTGTTTTATTAAGTTATAATCCTGGAGTGACAGTTGTGGCCACTGATGCAAAGTCCTGCATGAATTGAAGCACTGAATTTGCCTGAAATATTTCTTACCTGAACTGGTGAATTTTTATTTTTAGAACAACACCTGATCTTGATTCATAAAACACCAATGATGGAGTTAGTTCTGTTTCATTCTTTCCCACGTGGAAATGGGAATTTTTATTTACTTATGTACAAAACCAAACAGTTGTTCATCTGATCTTCAGAGATCCTATTCAGGCTGAGCTTGGAGCAACACAAACACTCCTGCAGTGACTTTTCTCTGACCTGACTTTAAGAAAGAGCTCTTGCCTTTGACTCTGCAAGGAGTCAATTTTTATATAAGTTTTTTCAGTTGTTCTTATAATAGGTCAATTGAATGTCAAAGAGATATTCCAACCAGCTTCCTTTGAAACCCATAAAACTACTTTATTCTAGGAAAAAGAAATTATTAAAAACAAAGATCAAGAAATTATTAAAAACCAAGACAAATCACAGCTTTTCAAGTTTGACTTCCTCTTAAATTCACACCTTCATTTGTGTTGCCTTTTGCAACCATTAAGCTCTGCCTTGCCTCTTTTAGAAAGAACTTTAATTTAATTAATTTAAAAATCTCTCTGATGCTCTGCATGAACCTGTCAGCTGGGAGAAGAAACCAAACCCTATCCCCACACTTGTGTTCCTGTTCTCTCTTCCTGGAACTGCTAAAAGAAGGCAGCAGGCAGGATGGGGTTAATAGGATGTGCAGCTCTCTTGCAAATGAATGGAACGCTGCAATTAGAGTTACTAATTGCCAACATGAGGAAGTAATTCAGTTTGCTTTGATATCTCTGAGTCATACATAGAAGAGGAATTTACTGCTCATCGCTGCAGAGGTTATTCCTCCAACAGGGAAAGAAAAGGAAAAAGAGAAAAGAGAAAAGAGAAAAGAAGAGAAAAGGGGAAAGGGGAAAGGGGAAAGAAGGGGAAAGGGGAAAGGGGGAAAGGGGAAAGGGAAAGGGAAAGGGAAAGGGAAAGGGAAAGGGAAAGGGAAAGGAGAAAGGGAAGGGAAAGGGAAAGGAAATGGAAGTAGATTGTCTTTCTCACATCTTCCACAAAGCTGGACTGCATCTTTGCCTCAGGACCAAGCCCCCAGGAGACTGATAATGGAAAAAATACATGTCTGGAGAGGAGATTCCACTGTAGGGGAGAGGAGCTGGAAAGACCAAGTGCTACAGGAACTTACTATAAGCAATTCAGTGTTATCCTCACTTCGTTTGTATCTCTGAAACAATAATCAAAAAGAGTTATTACCTTCTCCATCAGGATTTTGCTACTCCCTCTCCTACTATCTAAGTTTCACAGTTTTCAAGCTATAGTTCCCTGGGGAGCTGTAAAGGCCAGCTTGAAATAAGCAGCTTGCTGTAATGTGTCAGGGTCTCAGATCACCCTCACTATTCTGGACTTTGATGGCTGCATTCTGTGTCACCTACAGGCATAAATCTGGAATGGCTTTAGTGAAGTGAAAGAGTCACACTGCTATACATCTTTTATTTCCCAGTCATGCTCCTGGTGGAGCCCTACCTGCACTTTTGTAGCTTCTCCTTGTTTTGAGGCACCTTCCTAAATTTCTGCTGGTCTTTTAGTTTCCCACATTAACATACTGGCTAAAAATACCAGGAGCAAAAAGAGAATGTTATTTAAAGGAGCTGTGTGTGCCTGGGACAGTTCTTACACTGTCACACCTCATCCACAAAACCTGGAAGAAGCTCATTTTTCCAAGATGTTTTGGTACCATGTGACCTGCATTCTGAATTGGCACCTTTGTCACCCTCCCCCAAAGCAGGTGAGCCTGGAGAAGGGAGGTTCTCCTGGAGGCTGTGCTGGGAGCTGTGGTGAAAGCCATTCTTCTGCTTTGGGCTCACTCCAGGGGTGACACTCTGGGGGCTCCAGTCTGGTCTGGAACCCCTCTGAGTGTGAATATCCGGGCTCAGCCCATCCCAGGACAAGGCAGGGCTCCGTGCAGCTGCTCCCAGCCCAGCCTGTTGGCAGAGAGAAACACACACTGGAGCTGCTCTGCACACAGCAGAGCCCTCTGCTCCCAGGGCAAAGATGAAATTGCCACTTGTCCCAGTCTGTAGTGAACGTCTAGGAAAGCTCCCCCAGCCAGGTGTTCACCTCCTTACTTGTTGGACAGATCCCTGGCTACTTTCCATCTTTCTTTTCTTGGAGATTGCTGGATTCCAGTGACACACCAGGCTGTCATTTTGAACACTGTAATTCTTGTTTCCAAGAAGCCAGTAGGTTTTCATTTTCCCTTTGCCCTGAACAAGAAAAGGAGAGAGCAGAAAACAGCTGTTTTCATGGGATCACTGTGGCCAGAGGTACTCCCTGTCCTGCATTTATTCTCTCTCCTTCTCTCATAAGTGGCTGCTGATCAGGGAGAGAATTATAATTTATGTGCAGTTTGGGTGCTAATAATCTTTTTTTTTTCAGAGGTCACTGCTTTGCTGGTCACTGGCAGTGTTGCTAGGGGTTTAAAATCAGCCTTAAACCCATTTCTCTTTGACTGAATCCTTCCACTTTGGACCATACTTACATGGTTCCATGCAGGTGCAGACATAGCAGCCATGTTTCAAAGCACACAGAACACTTTTTCATCAACTTTGAGGAGTGATGTATAGTCACTTCCAGCTGAATTAGCAAAAGAACCTTGGGGACGTGGTTTAAAGTTGGCTTGCTCTTCACAGAAGAGTGATGGCCAAACCTACCATCTCCTCCCTATCCCATTAAATGCCTTTATTGCTGTAAAGTTGCAGAAAAACTGTTACCTTGACTTCAATTTCTCCTCTCAGTTCAATTTCATATGCATCATCAGTGAGAAGGGCTTCATATGTAGCAGAGCTGATGTGGATCTTCTGTGCTAGGATTCAGAGCAGAGCAGGAATTAATGATTCCCTAAATCCCAGAGAACACACACCAGCCCTCTTGCCTTTATCAGCCCAGTGTTTGCACCTCCTCTTTTGGCATTAAGGGATGTGACTCTCCATGCCCATGCCAGTCCACAGGAGTTTCTCTGGTCTGTTTGGTAACTGGTGCATGTGCAGGGAGATGGGAATGGCAGCTCAAGGATGTGCTTCTTCCTTAGACAGGTGATCACTTGTTCCCTGACCTGGGATGGTCAGGAGAAAGCTCCTTCTCCTCTAGAGACCTTATTTCACACTTGGCTGTGCCTGAGGTGAGGGGTTTGGGGTTTTCCTTGCACTGCAATGCCTTGGAGGGGCAGAGCATGGGTCTGGCTCCCGGACACTTACGCAGGCTGGTGGATTCCATGCGGGAAGCTGTGTTTACAGTGTCCCCAAAGAGGCAGTAACGAGGCATTTTGTACCCCACAACTCCAGCTACACAGGGTCCTGAGAAAACACAAGGCAGAGAGAGACCCCAAAAAGAAACAAATGGTAAGAAGCAGTGAGAAGTGCAGGGCAGTGTCAAATGGCAGCACCTTTGCCAGTCACTGTATCCTCAGAGAGATGTGGGAATTGGGAGTGCTCTGTGCATCTGGGGCTTGGCTGCAGATTTATATTTATTTATACATATACAGATCCTGTATTTACTTAGTGAGAAAAGTCACAATTTGATGAGCTGTAGATAATTGGTGGTGATATGACCAATACTAAATTGCTTCCCAGACCTTTCCGCACCGATACAGGCAAAAGTCATTTCACCCCTTTGCTCCTGCTGGAACCAAGATTTATCCTGAGGCGTGGGGAGAGGCAGAGGCTCATACAGAAATGCAGAATTCCTTTCTCCTCTCACAACTGGACAATGCCTTATTGTGTTTTTGTCCTGCCTTCCCCTCAGCCTGTGTACCTGTGTGTATCCCAGCCCGCAGCTGCAGCCTGCCTGCTGGCATGTGAGGGATCACCACCTGCCGCACCGCTGCCACCAGATCCAGGGACATTTTGGCAATCTCATCGGCGTGTTTGGTGCCATTCCTCTCTGGCAGGCCACTCACCACCATGTAGGCATCCCCAATGGTCTCCACCTGATGGGAAGGGGCACGTGTCACTAAGTGACGGGAACTGAGCTTCCCTTTGGAAAGAAAATCAGAATTAAATTTATTTTAGCTGCTCAGCACTTGCCAAAATGTGCTGTAGTCCCTGTAAGATGACAGGTCTCATATTTCTCCTGGTCTGGGGTATTTGTTATTCACCAGAAAGCAGAGTAGGGAAGATCTCAGCAGCTTGCAGATTCCTTTCCTGAGGATTTGTACTCACCTTGTACACATCGTAAGACTCAATCCTGGTGTCAAAGCAGATGTACAGATTGTTGAGCATCTCAACCACTTGCAGGGGAGTACAGGAGGCAGCAATGCTTGTGAAGCCCACGATGTCAGAGAAAAAGATAGTCACCTGTTCCAGGGAGAAGGAGATGAAGCCAAGGCTCCAGGCAACAGTGGTGAAGCCTTTGGGGAGTTTGGGGATTTGTGAAATCCTGAGCACAGCAGCCTGCACCTAGTACCAGTCTTACACAGCTCAATAGATCCTGAATTAACAAGCTCTGCCTCTGAATTGTTTTCTACTACTCTGAAAGATAAAATAATTTTATCTCCAAAGTTTATCACCTGCACTTCTGTGAATACCTCTTGCTAATGGGAGACTGAAAGTCAAATTATTTGAATCTTGTGAGCAGTGATCAAGAGACTTCTTATAGAAGTGGGGTCTCATTTTCCTTTAAAAGGAAAATTGCAACTGTGATAGGGATAAAAGTAGGTGCCAAAAAAATCTGTGAAATAAAATCTCAACTGCTGTCTCTGCTCTTGTTGAATTAGAAAATATTAACTGGGTTTTGTTTCTCTTCAAATTATGTTTTTCATGATAAAGTAATTTACAGAAAAGATTGCTTTTAAAAAAATTAAACTTAGAAAGAATAGAACTGAGGAGGAGAAATGTGTGTTGCAGCTGTTGGCAAAGAATTTTCTTTGTGCCTGTCTGAATTGTGTCAGTGTTTAAACAAATCATCCTTCTAATACCAATTAATCTGGAACAAGCACCTTTTCACTCTGCCTTGGTTCAGCACTTTTGATGTCATGACTATTGTGGATTATAATTAATTGTGCAATTACAGGTTGTTGTTTTGATAATGACACCAACAGATTAAATGCAAACATTTAGTAGCGTGTTTCACAGCTGAAAATAAGGGGGTGTCCAGGGAAAAAGAGAGAACAGAATTGCAATTACTGTAGCATGAGGATTTGGGCTGAGGGCTATGCAGCTAAATTCAATACTGAAAGCAGCAATTCTTTTATTCTTCATATTTTACAAGGAGCAGACTCATTTCTTGCTCCTATGGACTCATGATCCAGTGGTGCTGGCTGGCTGTTGTGGGTAGGCTCTAACATGCAAAGACAATTTGCCAGTATAGGATGTTTGACATTTAAAGCTATGCATTTGGAAATCTCAGCTCTTCTTCCTTCCCATCAGCCTAAGTGCTCCATGGCATATTGCACAGCTCTTTTGGGAGTATTTGGATTTCCATCCACACTCAATTCCAGGTGCAAACCCAGGATCCCCAAATCTGTGACAAGGTAAGAGCTATTTTAGGTGAATACTTTTTTACCCTTTGGCGGCATCATCCTTTCCATTTGCTAACCTGATCATAGTTTTCTGCCTCAACTTTTTGGCATCTCCTTAGCTGCTTGGCCACAGACTTTGGCAGCATCTGGTGCAAGAGGTCCTCAGCTAGGCGCCTCTCCCTCTTCAAGTCCTCTGTCTTTTCCTTGAGGTTCCTGGCATAACTGTGTATCCAATCTATCATTTGCTTGAAGGACATCAGTACAATGGGATAAATGAGACAGGCCACCATCAACAGGCTGATCTTCAGGCTTATTGCACACAGGATTTCCTTGGATTTCTTGCTCAGCTTTTCCTGTCCCTCCTGCAGCAGACAGCTCTGTGCATAGTGCAGTCCCCTTAGCGTGGCCTCCAGGGACACAAAATCACCCAAGCCCAGGAATGGGGTAAGGAAAGAGATTCCTTCATAGGGGGTGAAATAAAGTGACAGATTGACATTATCTGTCCAGCACTTATGGGCAGTCTCTGAGGAGAGGAGAGCATAGCTCAGAGTGGCAAAATGTTGATGCAATGCAGTTTGAAGGCTCACAGGTTCTGGCTGAGCTTTGAGCACAGCTTCTCTGATTTGGAGGATGAGTTTAAAAGCTACGGTGTCTGCCCAGTCAGGATTGTGTCTCATGGCTTTGAGGTCCTCATGGGGACTCCTGAAACGCTCAAGCAGTTCAGAGATCACCCTGGACAGCACCTGCCTGGCTTCAGTGACCCCTGAGATATTCAATTCGTGTCTCAAGTCACTCATGTAAAATCTACAAATGGAGATTTTCTCCTCCTTGCACTGGCAATTCTCACAGTACAGTTCTGCTTCACTTGCTGTGCAGAGGGAGTTTAAATTCCCCAAGAGCTGAGACTGGAATGATCTGTTCCTTGTGCCTGCTGCTGGGAACAGCCAGCTGTGCCTTTCTTCCTGCAGGGCAGAGATGAGGTGAGCAGCCCAAAGGTTTTCACAGGACACAAGTTCCTGAAGGGCTTTGCCTGTGCTCTTCCATATTTCCAAGCTGTTTCTCAAATCAAAAGAAATGGCCCCAAGGAGGCTGCAGAGGGAGACCATGCATGCTGTCAGAATCCTTTGAACTGTTTTTCTACCACCAGCATTGGAGGAGGGAAAACACCTAAAAAAAAAAGAATTTAAAAAAAAAAAAAATTAAAAAAAAAAAAAATTAAAAAAAAAAAAAATTAAAAAAAAAAAAAATTAAAAAAAAAAAAAATTAAAAAAAAAAAAAATTAAAAAAAAAAAAAATTAAAAAAAAAAAAAATTAAAAAAAAAAAAAATTAAAAAAAAAAAAAATTAAAAAAAAAAAAAATTAAAAAAACAATAGTGGTATTGTCTGGTCCTGGGAGTGTTTCTTCCAGCTCCTGAAACCACAGCTGGATCTAGCAGTGATATTTAACAATTCCCATGCATTCTGAAACAAAGCAAAAGGAGCATGCATTACGTGGGTGATTTTTAAAGACATATTTTATTATATTTTGTTCCACCTGACATTCATTTTAAAAGAAAAGCTGTATTTAAGAGACTGCTTCCTTGACACACTCTGATCTGCAAAAACTGATGAATGATACAGTTTTTCTGTGACAAAAAGAAAGCTAATAAAACCATTTGCTGTCATTTTTATTCTCTATGATACTTCTCTCCAAATCTTGAAAGGCCATGAAAAGATAGGTTACTTATTTCCCCAGTGATTCCAGTGATCACAAAGTGGAACTGTTGATTTTTTTACATCAAACTTTGAGAATTTATTCTTAATAAGCATTTCCATATGATGAGTAATTTCTGTTGATAAGTTCAAATGAGCTCAGATATTTTTTACAATATTCCCTATATACTTCAGAAGGAAAACAAATCACATTTCTGTTTTGTTTCAGTTTTTACCCAAGCATTTGCACATCCAATTTTTATTGTTTGAGCTTCATGATTACCTTTCTGTCTCTCTCTCATGCTGAACATAATGAACATCCATACTCCATAAAGCAAAAAAAAACCCTGATTTTAGTTTTCAAAACTATTCCATCATTTACAATCTTACACTAACAACATTTATAAAAAAAACTCAGGATGTTTTGCTGGAGCTGATGACTCCTGAATAACTGGGTAATCCTTTTTCTCACTGATGAAGAACAAAGTTCTGCATAGTAAAACTGAATGAAAAAAGCCCTCCTCAGATCCCCTATTCTTTCAGATATGGGAAATCACACTTTTAGTCAGGCAAATTAATCCAAATAAAGCCTATTATTTCTCAACAGAGGCTGATATTAAGCAAAACAAATTCTTGCTGGGCAGATTGGTGGTCAATGGCTGTAAAATAAAAGAAAAGTGATAAAAACACTGTTCCCAAAGATGATAAACAGCCATGCTTTCTCTTATTAATTTAATGCAATTTCTGTTTAGTGATATATTTACTTTCAGTCCAAAGGTTAACATCTGCAAAATATCAAACTAAAAGGAACTGCAAACCTAGAAAATGTATCTCTGAGCATTTCTGTTCTCACAATGATCTTCCAACCTTTTTCTTACTCTATCTACTGCTTACCTTTGGCTCACTTGCCCTCCGTTTATAATAATTCCTTTTACTTCTGGAAACATCTACTATGTGCTGGGGGCAGAAGAAAAACACAAGAAAAATCCACCTTGATTTTATACTTCCTGTCTTCTATAACAATGAAAGAAATATAAAGAGGGTCTTTAATTGAGTGCCGAGCTAAAAGTGATGATTCTTCTTCGCTTTGCCCAAAATCCCCGTTTGTGCCAGCGTGGCAGCTCCGAGCTCTGCACCTGAATGACTCCAAAACAGAGACATCTCTTCCCCCAGAGCTGCATCCTGCCCTTCCCCTTGCTGGCTCTGGGATCACAGGTGCAAATCCCCTCTGTAAAAGCGTTTTGTGGAGCTCCTGCACCCACCTGCAGGGATCTGCTGGCTCCTCTGCCTTCCCTCTGGGCATCGCTGCCTCCGGCAGGGTCCTGCTCCTGCCCGCAGCCCTGAGTCTCTGAGCCCTCCTCTGAGCCCCCAGGGATGTTCTGTGATGCTCTGGCTCTTCCTTCTGCCCACCCCCTGCACATCTGGGACAGGGAAAAACATCCAGAGTGCTCCCCAAACACAGGCTTGCCAACAGTCAGGGAGAAGTGACAGTGACACGTTTTGTTTTCATCTTGCCAAAAATAGTGTTTATTGCACTAGTGTTTGGTTTAATGCTTGTGTTGTTAAAGGGTTATTTCCCAGTTCTTTGATCAAAGGTGTCATGGTTGTGATTTTATTCAAACTGTTTTCCTTCTTGGCATCTCTCATCCAGTTCTCATTGGATTAGTTGGTTGCCATAACCTACAAAAAAGTAAAACAAATGAAAGATCAGATAATGAGATGCAGGAATTTGTGAACAATATGTGTTGTGTCTAAGTCACTGGGTTTAAATAACTGAAATAAGATTTTTGCTTCTCAGTCAAAGTTTATATTAAATTCAAAGATGTTTAAAAGACATTCCAGACCTGAGCTGCATGTTCCACCTTTTAGGATGCAATTGCAACAATCAGTGTATGGATGAATGCAAATTTGAGTAATCCCTTCTGAAATACACAATAAATCTTTATGATTACAATTAAAAACTAAGATAAAGGGAGAACGCGTTGCTATTATCAAAACTTATTTAAATAAGTGAAAAAAAAAATTAGATATCTGCTCCAGAGGAGGACATTTTTGGCTGAATCAAGAGTGCTACAGCTCCCTGGGCAGGTGGCAGAAATGGCAGTGAGGGAGTGTCTGTCTGTCTGTTCTGCAGCAGCACCTCCCAGCGCTCACCTGCTCGATCCAGCTGTTGTAGGCAGAGACACGAGTGAACACTGAGGGCTTCTGGAAGTAGTTGCAGCCAAGGGAAGAGCCAAAGCTGACGATGCCATGCACTTCCCACCTGCCATCAGCCCCTTGGCAGTTCAAGGGGCCCCCAGAGTCCCCCTGGGAGGAAGGAGAACACAATCACAGCGTGAGCAGCTCCTCTGTGGGGTTCTTACCCTTTCCTTCCCATCATTTTGTCCAAACCCAAGCCCTGTGAGTGGACTCACGTTACAGCTGGAGGTGATTCCATCCCCACCAGCACAAACCATGGTGGGTTTCACTATGTCTCCCCACCAGGAAGGTTCAGAGCAGGTTGCATAATCCACCACCAGCAGAAGGCCTTGCTGCAGGTCATCGGGCAGGGGTCCATTTGCTGAGAGAGAACAGAAACACAAAGTCATGGTGGCACTGGAGGAAAAATAAAACTGCTCTGCTAAATTTCTCCTGGGATCTGGGTACCACCACTCCAGGTAAAACACTCCAAAGGGGCTATATTAAAGGAGAAGCTGTTATAGGTATGAATGTCCCTTAGTTCTATAACTTTTAAAATTTGTTTCTCTCTCTCTTTTGATTCTGCTGTATTTCTTCTGCACTTCTCTTCACTCCTGGATTTCTCAGCTTCTCTGAGCTGAGCTCCTTGGGGATGCTCCCTCACGGGGAGTCCCGTTTATCTCAGTTCTCTGGGTCAGAAGAAAACTCCAAAGCTCGTTAGGATCTTGTTCCTAGTGTTTATTAGGATGTTATCACAAAACTTGGCAGGTCTCTCCAAACTTTCTGCACAAGTTTAATTCACTGCAACCTGGCACATTTCGGCTCTGATGGCACAAAATGGCCCTGAACTACTCAGTTATTTTATCTTTATATTTATTCTTATCCAATTAACAATAGACACGTAAATTATTTTTCTTAATGACCCAATGACCCAACACCTGTGTGCTGCACTGTGGCATTTTCTATCCAATCACCTCCTACTACCCAAAAACCTCTAGAAGAGGAACATGAAGAAGAAATAAGAAGGAAAAGAGACAACACTCTAAATCCTCCATCTTGTCTTCTATTTTCTAAACTAGTTTAAACTCTAAACTTTAACTTTTTCACTCAGTGACTTAAGAAAAGTCTCTAATCTCTACACTCACACTTTTAGCTTTTCTATCTAACAGTTGTTTTCATGTATCACCATGAAAACATGCCCATAAATTTCATGTTGTGTGAAATTCAGTGTTCTCCTGGATCTCAGAGCCAGGGATCAGAGACAAGGGCTCACACTCTGTGTCTCAGACTCCAACAAGTTCCATTCTTTCATGTACACATGAACTTACTAAAAACTTGCATTCCATTAAAAAATGTCTCATTGTTAGAGAAATAAAGGGCTACTCTTTTTTTCAGGAGTTTACAATTTACTTGTCCATCAAGGAATTGCCTCCTGAGCCAAGCTGACACCTCTGCTCAACTCTCTAATATTTTCTTCATTTCTATTCCCTTATGTGTCTTCAGATATTCAGCAGGTGTGTTGGGATTAGCAAATGCACCAGTCTGCACACTATTAACATTTGAATTACAACAGCTCCTAAAAGCTCAATAAAGGCCCCTCTGTTACAAGTAAAATAATCTTGAAAGGAAAAAATCACAATGTGTGAGTGAAGTGGGGCCAAATATAACAAACCACCTCACTCCACTGAGTTTTGAGGGGATCTGGAGCACCATGAATAATTTTTGCTGTCAGTCTCAAAGGAGAAGGAACTTCTGAAAGGTTGTTTTTTTTTTTAACTGTATGGTTTTGCAGATACCCAAGTACTCACTCTGCAGTCTCCCCCAGCCAGTGACGTAGCAGGCAGTGTTGGAGGGCAGGATGCTCTGGGCAGGGGGCAGGCAGGCCAGCTCGATCTGATCACTTAAGGTGACGTGCTCAGAGAGTTTGATCAGAGCAATGTCGTACCTGTGGTAACATGCACAGGTTGTGGGGAGAAAGGGAAGGTCAGAAGGTTTGCAGGATGGATTAGGACAGAGTAACCTGAGTACTCAATTACACAGTGCAGGAGACGCTTTCTGGGGATGGTCTGAGACACAGCAGAGACCTCTATAATCGAGTTAGGTGTTAGAAGTTTATTTCAGGGTGTGAAAGAGAAAGAGAGCCTGCTATGAGCCAGCAGATAGAGCTCAAAGCAGGCTCAGAGAGAACAATACAAAAGGGGTAAAATATGAATACATGAGCTCAAGAATTAAGATTGCTAAGAAAGAGAGTGACAGAACAGAAGTGAGAGAGCCGGGGAAAAAGAGCAGCAAGAGGCAAGAGGGCTAAGAGAGCGTAGCAAGAGAGACCAAGAGAGACCAAGAGAAACAAGAGAGACCAAGAGAGAGAACTCTCTTTTACAATTACTTATATAACCTATACATTTGAATATTCCATTCCTTCACTAACCAATTTTCATAAGTATACTAATACAGTAACATTTGTGTGTGACCTATAGAAATCTCTATTTTTGCATATTTTTAGTTATCTCAGGGTCCTTCAGACCTTTCTTTATAAGGCTGGGGAGAGGGGTCTCAACTTGGTTTTATTGGGGGACAGAATGTGTTCTGGCATGCCAGCCCAGTTTATTTGAATTATTCAAACCGTGCTTTCATTTGTATTTCTTCCTTAGCCTTTCTGGCTACAGAGTCATATTTATAATTTCTTTCTAATTCTACCTTCCCAACAACACAGCATTTGGCCTGTTCAAAAGAGAAGCAAGGGAGCAAAAGCAGCAAAGATTCCTGCACCCCAAAGCCATGAGGAAATTCATGGACTGGAAGGCTATTCCCTGCAGAACTGCCTGTTTTCCTGATGGTTAAAAATTGTCTTTTATGGGTTTTTTTTTCCCACCAAAACCAAGCATATGTTAGGATTCACTCCAAGGAGTGGAACTGAGGGGATTTCTTTGTTACTGCTCTCGCCTGCAGCAGGACACAGGGGTCCTTCAGCCACATGGATATTAATAATCAGTAATTCTGTGTCTGTGCTGCTGGTAGGAGAGCTTCAAAGAATGCTGTATAAAATGCTTCATTCCTTTTCACAGTACAGAAGAGATCACTGCATGGAACAGCTTCTGACCCAAGCATGAACATGAAAAATGGCTTCTGGAGACATTATTAATCAATAAGAAATTGATACTGTTAATTGTTAATTGGAAGGTACGAACTGAACACTGTAACAGGAGGCTCTAAACGTGAATTTAATTGCCATAACTCCAGGTGGGTGGGATTCAGGCAGTTTGATTTTTACTCTCCACCTAAAAACTGAAAAAATACCTGCCACCAGCTTACCCATTTGCAATATCCTCTGGATTCCAGTGCTCATTAACAATGATCTTTTCTGGAGAAAGTGCAATTGATCCTTTTTCCTCAACTGCTAGGTTGTATTTTCCAAGAAAAACTCGGTATGTCCTGGAAGAACTGGGCAAGAAAAGGATGAACACTCAATTACTCAGCTGCTGCTCAGGCATCCACATCAGGCTCCTGAGATATTCACTAATCTGTGATAGATGTAATATGTAGGATTTATAATAATAACACACCAATCCTTCATGTTTCATATTATGATATTTGCTACAACTTAATGTTACTCTAATCATTTGCTACAAGGGAAAATGGGGTTGTATTTGTGGAACCAGTTCTCATGATGAAATGACATCACTGTACCTGATAATTTTTTTGTTGCATTGCCACATAATATGAGGAGTTTACTGAAAAGGATTGGTTTGTTCAAAATATTTGTGATTATTTCTTCAGGGAGTGGATTGATTAGTTAACTTGTGGATCTCACTGATGTGTATTACAGAAACAGGCAACACAGCTGAATTTTAATAGCAGCTTGAAAACAGAAGGATGTTCATAGCTTGTTTATAGAAAATGAAAAACATTTAATTCAGGTAACTGGGCTTTCTTCCCCCCTTTTACACTGATAAAATAAAGAGGTGTCATTCTCCTGACTTTTAATCAAAAGATATGATGTGAAACTCAGAGCTTTCAACTGGGAAAGGGAGAACTGGCATTGATACAGATTTCATTCACATCTTTCTGCTCATGTGCTGCTTCCTGGGTCAGATTTCTCTTCCTTACCTGATGCAGTGGGCAGCTGTCAGTACCCAGTTGGTGGCAATGAGGGTTCCCCCACAGGTGTGATACCACTCGCCATTGGAACGGTATTGAAGGGAGGCCTGGAATCAAGGAACCAAGAAAAGCTCAGGCTTTTGCTTACTCATTTTTCATCAGTGTTCTTCGTTCCTGAACCCAGAACACAACTTGCTGATGGTGGAAGGCTTTGAAGCTTCCAACTCCTGGCCACAGAAAAGCTTTCCCTCCTCCCCTGTCATCCAAAACTTGATTTTTATAATGTATCTTGCTTAAATAGCCCAAGTCTACTTGACTTAAAATGAGAGCCTGCATTACCAGAAAAATGCAGTACATTGAGAAGTTTCTTAAAAAGACTGGAAATTTTAGGATTGATCAGAAGAGTCAAAACCTAAGACATGTCAGGCAAGATGCATCAGATGGAATTTAAGAGGTGGTTTTGTCGAGTTGTGCTGTGCAGAGGTAGCACAGCCCCAGCTGTTCCAGGGAAAGCACAGAATGACCAACCTGCCAGGGCCAGCTGTATGGTCTTGCATCTTCCCCTCCAACAACTCTGGACACAAGAGGTGGGTAGGCAGGAACCCCACAGCCAAAGGCTAGAGGACATACAAATAGGATGTTTTGAAAGTAGGTTTAAAAAAAGAGCTCTAAGACATGAAATAGCACAGCACCCAGTTACTCTTTTGAGACAGCCTTGTAACGAACATCCTATGCTGTATTTTTTTCTGCTTTGATGCAGAATGTCCAATTTGTCTAATAAAAGAATGTTGTTTTTAGATTTTAATTCACTTTTTTTATAAAAAAAACTAAAGCAGAAGTTGGACACATACCTGCAGGTGCCAGGGTCAACACAGCAAAGAGGACTCCAAGCATGGTGCCAGTTCCTGGGTGCTGCAGGCTCAACTCCACACCATTTTATACAGTGTCCTTTATCTCTGGAACATATGATTTATAATGCAGAGCTATTCCAATACCAATGGAAAACTTGTGTCACTGTGGGATAATTCTTTATATACATAAGTTGCTAAAAAAATCCCCATTTTTTAGTTTGTATAGCCTTGGGTCCAGGCTGTATAAACAACTTGGTTAAAAGGAATTCCAAATTAATTGCTTATTATCTGTAGCAGCTGTTTGCATTTCCATTGCCTTGAAAGTTCATCACAAAGGTGTTCACAGAAGGAAAATGTTAAATTAATTATTCTAACACTTGGTGGCATGTCAGCAGTAAGTGTCTGATATATTCAGTGATAGATTCAGATGTGTTGGTGGGGTTGGACTAGTTGATCCCAGAGGTTCCCTTCCTACCTTAGTTAATTTACAATTCTACAACTGCTTGGGGTTTTATTTTGGTCTGAGGTCTGCTTTTGTTTTGTTTTATTTTGTGTGTAACTGAATGGCATCTACCACATTGTACTGGCTGAAAACCTGTATCTTCTTTCCCAGATCAAGTTGCATGTGTTTCAGCATGCCAGACTTCTTCAATAAACCAGCCTGTAATCCCTTTGAAGTGGAATGTACTTCAAGCCATACAAAGAACCAGCTGTCCATGATGAAGCAGAAATCCTGGTATGCTGTGGTGAGTCAGACTCTGTTCCTTTCCTATTTCCCTTTGTTAGATCAGCAGCACAGCCCTGGAAGAGAACAGGGTTGCTGCAGCATTGCAAATGAGCCTGTGTACACCCCAGAGCAGCGCTGACCTGGGCTGTAACACACTGTGAGCTTGTTCTTGAGAAGAGCAAAGCACTCACTCACAGGACAGAGCAGGCAAGAGCAGGCACTTGCACCCCTCCAGAGGTGCTGCCAAAAAGGAAGTGTCCTAATTCATTAACTGATATTTGAGATCAGTGACTAGATATCAGTGATATCAGTGCTTACCCCTCTTTTTTTTTCTTATCTTCTACTACAGGAATTTTCCATCCTTTGTTACCTTTCTATCCACCAACCATTGTTGCTGGTTATTTGAAAACCAAACATCTCTATCCCATAAGCCAGGACATTAAATATGTTCCCCATAGGGAACAAACTTACAAGAATGGAAACAAATATCATAATGCCAGTTTTGGAACCAGAGCTTGTGTTGTACAGAGACACCAAACAAGAGGCTCAAACATGCTGAAATAAATCTAATGTTTAATGTCAAGATTAACAAGCAGCAAAATCCCTGATTTCCAGAGCTTCCATTCAGCAGTAGGTACTGTTTTGGATGAAAGATGCCTGGAGCACACATGTGGAAAGCAGAAATATAGAATGCTTTGCTGTTTTGTCTGCTTCTCAAGAATGTATTTTCCTACCCAGACAATAGCACTTGAGAAAGCTGCATTTTGAATTGCAAATTGGATCAACCAAACACTGTTCTGGCATCTTGTATTTATTATCTGACAAAAGCAGAAACCAGGATTAACAGTGCAGAATTGAGATTCTAAATTTTTTTCCATTAATTTGTTGGATCTTTTCTTTGTGTCTGAATTTACAAGCTAAACATGTTATGCTGCTCAGTTTAACTTCAATGTCACTATCATTTTCACTGAATTCCAACTAAAAGTATAAATTTTGGATGGTCAGTTACTATTTTAACTTTCTTCATTTGTTGTGTGCTTGTAAACCTGGAATTTTGTTTAGTTAAGCACTTCTGCATTTCACAAATACAACCTTCTGCTCTCTTGCATACTGTAAATAGAGAAACCTTTCCTTTTCCCCTTCCTCATGGAGGAATTCTGAAACAGTTCTTTTGTTATGGAGGAAATGCTCACAGGAATCCAAATATATTTACTGTAAAACACTCTGAAAGCTGTTTTGTTTTTTGTTCTGTTCATGCTTTATGTGATGGTAGTTTATCCATCTTTTCCAGTCTTCCTTGGGCTCCATGGTGTCATGCTGCTGGCAATTCTGCCAGGGAACATCAAATGGCTCAGCCTCCAGCTGATACCATGGTGGCTTGGAAATAGCCCCTGGAAGTTCTTATCATCTTCATGCCAGGTGTTTCAGACACTAAGCACCTCGTGGAACTTCAGTCAGAAAGAGAAGGAGCTTCTGGTATGTTCTGTTAAAGCAGAATAGTAAGTATCTCCTTCAACACACAATTTACCTGTATACAACTTATGATGGAATCTGTTGCTTCCCTGGTTTTACTCCCTTGAAGGGCATTAACTCTGCTATACAAATTAATAAATGGAATTGTCTGCAGAAAAGCCACAGACACTGAAATCTGCTTTCCTGAGGGGTTTTTCATCTGAAACCAGACCCCTTTGAAAATTTGAATTTAAATCCTGACCCAGTTTTTCCTTGGGACCAAAAACTGTGCCAAATTTATTACTTGCTGGATGGATGTTAAATCTGCTGCTTGATGGTTCCCTGGGATCATTTCTGTGCTCTTCAAAGTAAAGTTTGGCCTGCATTCCTCAAGATAGAATAAGGTTATGCTGAGCTATACATACTCATAAGGAAATGGAGATGAGCTTTACCCTGTGTGGTTTTGTCACTTCTTGTGCCTTCCAAATTGTCTTATAGCTGGCTTATATCCATTTATATATTATTTTCCACACTGTATTTGCAGTCAATACTGGCCACAGATGTACCATAAGGCTCTGCTTATCTAAACTGGGTGGGGAGCAAAGGCAGGAGAGAACAGAGACATAACCAACAAAAAACCCAACCACACTCCAGCAATCAGATTAGACTGAAAGATATTTATTTAGAAACAACAGCTTTGGTATTTTAAAACCAAACAACCTGTAAGTCACTAGAAAGTGGGATGTCTTCCCCATAGCCAAAACAAATCAATGCACAAAGTCTCAATAGGCTTAGAACAGGAAACCTGTAGATCAGCATTTCCAAGTGTATATCCAGAAAACAATTTCATTAAATTGATTTTTCACTCTACAGTCATAAAGGCTGAAAAACCTGTTATGAGAACTTAGATATCTACAGTTCAATTGACTGTTAATGAAGTGGAAGAAAAATTAACATACTCCCCCTCCCCCCCAAGCAATAAATTAAAAACTGTATACCAGAAAGGAAGTTACACTGAAGTTTTCTAGTTAACTCTCAGAAGGGAATCATCATCCTTTATTTTTCTGTAGAATTAAAAAAAAAGAACCAGATCAAAATATCGAAGGACTTAGTACATCTTCAAGTATTTTCACCAAATGGATTACTCCTAGGGAACTGAACAGCTTACAGGGAAAGGAAATGTCTGTTACACAAGCTTCTGGGATAAACTGTTAAATCACCTTCCAAGTCTCAGACTCCTGTCATAGCAAGGCACAAAAGGATTGTTGCTTTCAAATGGTCCTTGTTCTCAGCTGCAAAATTTCCAGGTGTCTTGTGCAAGTGGAGGCTGAAAGCAGAACTAAGCTCACTCGGACGTGGGGATGCTCCCATTCAGTTAATGGTACAGGTTATTTCAAGACTATCTATCTTGCTTACTGCTACAGATTCTGAGCTTCAGCTGGCTTCCACTTCCTCCCCATTTCTGGAATCAAGTTCTGCACCACCTTCATCTGAAGTAGGTCCAACAAAGAGGAGGAGCAGAGCTGTTTGCCCTGCAGGGCCCAGTAGGATGAGGTGTCAGGTCAGCCCTGGGCTGTGGCTCTGAAGCCTCTGGGCACTTCAGCGGGCAGAGTCGGGGACAGTCACCTGCAGCAATGGTTAACAAGTCACTTGGTAAAAGGCAGAAGGCAAGTCTTGGAGATGACAAAGGCAACTGGATAGACAACAGTGAAAGGACATAATCACGTAATTCCAAGGACACATTTCAGGTGTGTGTCAGGGCACAGCTGTTACACAAAAACTGACATCACCTCCTAACCCCTCCCTCCCTTTGCACTGAGGTTCTGATCCTGATCAGAGGCTTTAACTGCAGTTGTCTGATACACATTTCTATCCTACCTCTTTCTAGGTTAGTTTGGCTACAAGCACCTCCCACTCAACCTTTTATTGGATCACAGGTATTCAGACCTGCTTGGGATCAGGCTTGATCTCCAGTACTCAAAATGACAAAACCAGTGAGATGACAGGGAAATTTCCAACTCACTTTAAACACCCCATACATATCAGCTGCCAAGTTCAACACCTCCTGCTCAGCCTTAGCTATCCAAAATCAAATTTGATTTTATAATTTGGAATAACAGTACAATCTATAGCTAGAACTTTTCCTCTGACAGCTCTGTTTAACTATCATCTCCTTTTTTTAAAAACAAAACCTACATTTAACTCTGTTCAGCCCTCAGGAGGGAAGCCTCTAAACAGCACAACTAGCTCACACAGCAAATCCAGTCTGGTCCTGCATTTCCACTCCGTATCAACACACAGTCAGAAAGTCCCAGTACTAAGAGTAGAACTCACCATCTACTGTCTATTCTGTGCTAAGTTTTTACAGCAAATAAGTTTTCCAAAGCAACTCAAAACAACTTGGGAATTCTTTACACCCAGGTAAGATGCGTAAGAGCTTGGAGCCAGAACCTTCAACTCACAGTAAAAAGCACTCAGTACTTTCCTTAATACAGCTTTGTTTTTTGTCTGACTGGGAGAAGCAGCAATTCAGCATCTTCCCAAAATGATGGCGGTGTGATTTGATGGAGGACTGCACAGTGTCTATAATATGAACATGTACCATGAGTCCCAGCAGATCAGCACCTTCACCTCAGAACACCAGCCTGCCTTTGGGTGTTCCTGTGTGACACTCAGAGCAGGCAGGTAGGTGTGCAGACCTCCACACAGCAGTACAGACAAGTACAGCAGCTCCCTCACATGCTTGCTGGTACTGAATAAGAAGCATCATCTCATGACAACTGCGGGCCTAGAAACAAGCAAAGTCCTACACAGATGTGTGGAAAAAGGACAGAAAGCTGTGTTTGCCTCCACCTGCAGCCTTA